ATGGCTAGTGAGGTGGGTGTGTCCCATGTGCCTGTCCCCTGGGGAAAACTGACTAAAGCCATTGTCCTGGATGCCTTTAAGGATGTCCACACAGGGTTAGGAACTTTGGGGCCGCCCCTGCACATCAGCATGAACCCTAATGTGACTCCAATCCAAGCTCATCCACATCGGTGCCCTGTAGCAAAGGAAGCAAAAGCATCTGACGCAATACGTGACCTTGAAAAACAGGGTATCCTGAAAAAGGTTACTGAGCCGACTGCATGGATCTCCAACAGCGTCTATGGAGAGAAACCCGACGGAAGCATACGTGTGTGTATTGATCCTAGCCAAACGATCAATAAAGCCATTGAAGTCCCAAAGTACCCCATTCCTACAGTTGATGAGTTACTGCCTAAGTTGAACAATGCCAAAATTTTTTCCTGTGTAGACGTGTACAAGGGGTTCACGAACATTGAGTTAGATGACAGTTCCTCATTCCTAACGACCATGCATACTCCAATTGGTCGTTACCGTTGGTTGCGTATGCCGTTCGGGGTCAGTTTAGGACCAGAGGAATACCAGCGTAGACAACATGAAGCACTGGAAGGATTGACTGGTGTTGTGAACAAGGCTGATGACATTTTGGTCTTTGGGAGTGGAGATAGTATGGAGGAGGCTGAGAAGGATCACGATATTAACTTGTGAACTTAATGTTGCGGTGCCGTGAAGTGAATCTCAAGTTAAACCCCAGGAAATTTCAGTTCAAAGTGAAACAAGTTACTTGGATGGGCCATCTCCTTAGCAGTAATGGCATCACCCCACATCCAGATCGAGTCCAGGCTATTAAGGACATGACCCCACCACAAGATGTGAAAGGGGTTCAGCGGTTCCTGGGCATGTGCAATTATTTGTCACGCTTCACCCCAAACCTTGCAGAAATTGTGAAGCCGCTCACTGAGCTGACACATGTGAATGCAGTGTGGTCATGGTCCTCCCAGCATGACAAAGCTTTTAAGGCAGCCAAAAGCTTAATTGCAAATGCCACGACGTTGAAGTTCTTTGATGTGAACAAGCCATGTGTATTACAAGTGGACGCCAGTGACACAGGCCTTGGAGGTGCCCTGCTGCAAGATGGGCAACCTGTGGCTTTTACAAGTTCAACGCTGTCAGCAACTGAAGTCAACTATGCACCTATTGAAAAGGAATGTCTGGCCATCAAGGTAGCCTGTACAAAGTTCTACCAGTATCTTTATGGTAAACAAGATGTTATAGTACATTCTGATCACCAGCCGTTAGAAACGATTTTCAAAAAACCCCTGAGTAGAGCCCCACGACGCCTTCAACGGATGATGCTTCAGCTACAGCCGTTCAAGTTCACAGTCGTTTACAAGAAAGGCAAGTACATGTACTTGGCAGATACACTATCGAGAGCCGCCTTGAACCTCCCTACACCCTCAGACCCACAAGAAGAGGTGTTCCAGTGCAACTCAGAGGATGCACTAGAGATGTTCCGGGTAGAACTGGAGACCATGGAACTAGACTCCCCTGACATGTATCCTCGCACCCTGGAGGAAATTAAAGCTGAAACCGAGGCGGATCCTACCCTGTCAGTCCTATGTATGTTCGTGGCCCATGGTTGGCCCTCCGACAAATCACAGGTGCCCACAGCACTCCGTCATTACTATCCGTTAAGGGATGAGCTAGCGGTATACAATGGTGTATTGTACAAGTCACACAAAGTCCTCATTCCCGGAAGCTACAGTTTAATATGCTGAAAAAAACTCCACCGCGGTCACCAGGGCGGTGAAAGCATGATTCGCCGGGCTCGAGAAGTAATGTACTGGCCTGGAATGCAAGCTGCAATCCTTCAAGAGAGTGCCAAATGTTCATTGTGTGCTAGCTATGGTTCAGCCCTCCCAAAGGAACCAATGTTGTCTCATGAAATTCCACAAGGTCCATGGAAATTTATCTCGCAGGACCTATTCAAGCAGGGTGGGCGTTGGTATTCTGTTACGGTAGACCACTACAGTGACTGGTTTGAGGTCGATCTGTTGAATGAAGACATCACTGCTGCCCATGTTATCTCAGTCACAAAGGCGCACTTTGCCCGTTATGGTATACCAGATATATTTTTGTCCGACAATGGACCTCAGTATACCTCTCAGGAATTTTCGAATTTTGCCAAGACCTGTGGTTTCACGTTTATTACCCGGTCACCGTATTATGCTAGAGCTACCGGTAAAGCTGAAGCTGCCGTTAAGGAGGCCAAGAAGATGTTAAAAAAGTCAGACCTCTGCACTGGTCTCTTAGACCATAGGAACACTCCGCCTCAGGGTATGTCTTACTCTCCGGCACAAAGGTTTCTCTGCCGACGAACAAAGTCTAACTTACCAACATCTGAATCATTGTTGAGCCAATCTGTACCACCTGTAAACGTAGTCCGTGACGAGCATCTGGGTAGGCGAGCTAAAGCCAAAGCTCATTATGACAAAACTGCCAGCAGAGACTTACCCCCTCTTACGCCTGGACAGTATGTGTACACCAGGCCAAATGACCATCACCATGGTGAACAGTGGGGTCACGGCGAAGTCTTGGGCGAAGTAACACCACGCTCGTACGTGATAAAAACGCAAGACGGGTTGGTTAGACGGAACAGGATCCACTTAAGACCTAATGAGCGCCAGGTCTCATGTGACTCACAACCCTTGCCAGAACAACCAGTAATAGATAGTGGTGTGGATGTCGGAAATTCTGCGGAAACCATAGTGCCTAACCCCACTTCCGAGTCCACGAATGAGAATTCACTTCCACCAGTGCAAACCTCGCGTTATGGCCGACCAATTAGACCACCAAAGAGGCTGGATCTTTGAAACTGAAGACTAGAGTGCAGCATGGTACTCGATGTTGACTATTATCTGATATTGCCTGTTCACATTTGTTAGTGTTAATGACTTACTATGTTTTTCTTGTATTATTATTATTATTTTTCGAAACATATTAACATGTTAATAGTTTTCTTTGAAAGGGAGGATGTTGATAGGAGACAATTCTATCATGGTAAAGTAGGGGTCAGCGGTGTTCCGCGTGGGCCGTGTTGTATTGTATGAAGATGGCCGCATGTGCTCTGAGAATAAAGTGTTGTGTTCTCGAAAGCTGTTGTTCCTTTGATGGAAGCTTCCCCAGCCGGTCAACAAAGGAAACGGAAAACTTGATACACTTATTTTGGAGATGCGAAAAACAAAGCGAGTTTATTTCAAACGCTCTGCTCTTCTCGGAAGAACTAAAAACAAAATTTGTCTTGTGCGACGGACGGCTTTCATTCTCGCACTGGATTCTCCAGGTAGAACCAAGTCCATGCTTAGTCGCTACATTTTCCATAACTTGGACTCTTCCCTGGCAAAATCGACAAGCTACAGACTCGTCCAGTTTCTCAAGCAGCTTTTCGCTCGATACGATAGCTCGACCGCTTATTGTTTTCCACGTTCCATCAGCAGATGGGGTCGATGAGCTTAATTGGCTTTCTTCATCTGGCTCTTCAAGCTGGATTTTGGAGCGGCTTGCACTCTCAGCAACTGCAACATTTTCGCTTTTCTGAATATCCAACTCCTCGAGCCACTTCTCTTGCTGATAAAATGAGCCTTTGTCGCTCTCAGCCAATTTTGCGGCCCATTCTTTGTCAAACTCACTCTTCGATTTCCTTTTCGCTCTCGGTTTCGATGACGAAATTTTCTCTTGTTTTGGCGGCAAACTCTAAATATCCACGGAGAATACTAAAGGCTATAAACAACGCGAAGACAATTCGTACGTGTTGTGTCGAAGCACGCACTCGGTATCACGTTACTAGTTCACGGGCAAGTTAATTGATATATGACACGGGTATGACAGATCTTGTCAACGATCAATTAAGATAATTAACGAGAAAAAATCTTTTCCCCCCGATATCTTTCGACAGAAATAATATTTTCTTCTAATTTTTTTTTAAAAGAAAGCTCTCAAGCATATCTATTTGAAAACGTTGAAACCTCAAATACGAAAAAATGGCAATTTTAAGGGTGGCTGATACCTTAAGAAAGCCTGTTTGATCATCTGAAATTAGCTTTGGAAGAAAAGTTTTGATACGACTTGCAATGGCTTTTGATGCAATCTTGTAATCACAATTTAACAGCGTTAATGGGCGCCAATTGTTAATGAGAATGAGCTCGTCATCTTTCTTTGGAATAAGCTTGACAATGCCACGTCTTTGTGATATTGAAATTTGTCCTGTCTCAAAAGAAAAATTTAGGACATTTGGTAGTACTTCGGCTAAATCATTCCAGAAAACCTTGTAGAATTCTCAGGGGAGACCATCTGATCCTGGAGTTTTTTCAGAGGCCATGCTTTTTAATACTTCTAAACATTCCTTTTTGCTTAGAGGTCCTTCGCAAAGGGATTGCTCTTCTTGGCTCAATCGTTTCTGTTCTTCTAGGGGCGGGAAGAAGGCATCTGCATTCTTATTGGTATCTTCTTTAGAGGTATAAAGATTTTTCTAAAAATTTTTACATTCAAGTAAGATCTCTTTGTCTGTAGAAATAAAGTCATCTTCGCTAACTTTAAGCTAAGTTATTGTTGTTTGTTTACAGTGTCTCTTTTCAAGGTTGAGGAAATACTTAGTGTTTTTCTCGCCTTCATGTACCACCGAGACTTCGATCGTAAAATCGCTCCTTTTGTCTGGTATTCAATTATCGTCTCTAGCTCACGTTTTTTCCTTCAATATCGCACAATATTTGTTTCTTTTGTTTGTCATTGACATCAGAGTGGGTAAGCTGTTCTTCTAAGGTTGTTATTGATATCTCAATTTCCTCCTGCTCTTTTCTTAGATTTCTCTTCTCAGTTGTTCCATATTTAATAAATACGTCTCTCACTTTCATTTTAACCATCTCCCATAAAAGGCCTGGGTCAACAGTGTTATCTTGAGAATATTTACCGATAGTTTGTGCTATGGTTGACTTAATCTGGTTGACATTTTCTGTTTCAGATAAGAAGGAAGTATTTAGTTTCCAAAAACCTCGGCCTCTAGTGTTAGAGTGTAAAGAAATTTGTAAGGTGATCATAGAATGATCTGTTTTGTAGCCTAATATCTCTGCATTAATAATATTACAGAAAGTGCATTGATTAATTAGAAAGAAATCAAGTCTACAGTGGATTTCAGGCTTCTTCCGTCTCCATGTAAATTTGGAAGAGTCAGAATTTAAAACTCTCCAGGCGTCGATCAGATCTAAGCTTTCAGAGGCGCTATTGACCCGCGGGGGTACTCCTATACATTACCTATACGGGTATGTGCCGCCCAACGGGGTCGTGATTTTAAAGCTCCTGGTTGAGAAAGGGGTATCCATTTCAGAGGCGTTTTCTAGAACGGGGTATAATATTTCGAACGCATGAAAGCTCCAGTTTTGTAAGCAGCCATTTGAAATTATTCAAGGACAGATTGCTTTTAAAAAGACGGCTCAATGCGTTACTGAAGCAAACTGTTATACTCTTGTTGCACCCTAGAACGGAGTATAAAAAATTGGCCCATTTTTAGAACGGGGTATCAGTTTTAGGGCGAATTCTAGAACGTGGTATAAAAAATTGGCCCGTTTCTAGAATGGGGTATCAAGTTTAGGGGAATTTCTTTTTAGAACGGGGTGCCAATCTGGAGTCCCGGGCGACACATACCCACCCAAAAAATACCCAAGTGCCCCCCACCCAGGGCTATTGATAACTTCCAATGATCTTTTATGAGTTCTTGAAAGGCCACCCTTTTTATCTTTTTCGACATCTAAAACTAAATTAAAATAGCCACCTATTATGATCTCGTCGCACTTGAAATCAGCCAAATGACTAAAAACTGAGGTGAAAAAATTTGAATCATCGTTGTTTGGAGCGTAAATATTTGTCAGCGTTAATTGTTTCCCATTTACAGTCACATCACATATTATAAACCGTCCCTCGGGATCGGAATATGTTTTAGAAATTTGAAAGGTGAAGTTATTATTAAAAAGTATGGCAACACCTGCCTTTTTACTGGTGCAGCAGCTGAACAAAGCTTGATAGTCCCATTCGGCCCGCCAATCATTCTTATTGTTTTCTGTACAGTGCATTTCTTGAATAAAATATACTGAATATTTTTTTGCTCTAAGCCAGTTTAAAAGATTTCTCGCCGCTTGACCTGGTCTCCCAAACCTCCAACATTAATTGATCCTATTTTAAGATCCATTTTTAGACGTTTGTGTCAGATAGCATCGACTGTCTTTACCCAAGGAGTATTCTCGCAATAAAAAACAAATATGAGAAATAAAAAAAGATAAACAAGAGTTTAAATAAAATAACAGTAAGGTTACGTAAAAACACAGCAAACGAAATATTTTCAGGCAAAATGTAAACAGAGACACGCACATTTAAATCAATAAAAGGTTGCACTTAGCGTCGCTTTGAAACAGAGGCTTCAGGCAACTCGGAGATGGTCTATTGCCTTGTAAAAAATCAGTTTCTCCACTACCGGGGCGAAATTGCCATTCCAGAGCGCTTCGATATTTCCATAGACAACGATAGAACATCAAGATTGTTCAGTTTTCACTGTATTTCTAACCAGAAACATTTTTATCTCAAAAACCCTCGAGAGTGCTCTCGTAGATCTTTCTAATAATACATTTTGGTACAGAATACCAAGTGCATCAGGTGCGGATCCACACCGGTTTCCACCGTTTTACGGAAATCGGTCACATTTTTCATATTAAATATATTTTTAAAAATAAAAACACTTTTCAAGTTGAAATCTGGCCAATATCCCATCTGAATAACTCGGTAACTCAGGAAAGGGGATTTTAAGGAGTAAAAATCCAAATAATTTCTTGGGGGAGCCAGCCCCCGAATCCCCGCTAAAAGCTTGTGTCTTCGGCGCTCGTTTAGGAAACATTGGGCACACCTGACAAAGATGAGGCGGCCGGAGATATGTTGTACACTCAAAAATGGTATCTGACTGCAAATTATAAACCCAAACTTTCCGGGTAGCAAACAAAGGGTTCCAAAAGGAACCTTTGGAATCAGAGTGTACAGCCAGTGTCGTGCTCAAATAACTGAGGCAACGACTGAAACGCATAAATCAAAGACTGACCCAATAAATACTGGCCGCCAAACTGCGACTCATGGTGTACAATCAGTGTCGATCTCAAAATCAAGAGGCAACGACAAAGCAAATAATCAAAGGCTGACACAATCATAAACACAATTGTTTGAGTCAATATCAAAGGAACTCGCCCGAGGATAAAAAAAGGCGTAAAGAATAACATCAACGCTACGCTACTGAATGTTAACACTAGACAATAGTCGCATAGACTTAAGTACTCCCCCTCTAAAACTACGATTGAGCTTATATTGCTCCTTACTATTCAAATGAACGCCATCAGCAGCATAAAAATTATGACCAGCCTTCCAAAAACCCCTATGACCCCAATAGATCGCGTAAGGGATGGGTTCTAAGACAACCCGTAGGTAACGTGTTTAAAGATCTACGCTTTTGTTACAGGCAGTAGCAGAGCGCCGACGAATGGTTTGGCATACACACACGAATCTTACCCCGTAAGAATAGTGCAACAAACGACCGAATTCCTCAAGTTTTGACCCAACTTGTAGAGGAGACTGAAATGGTAGATCATTAGTACCAAGTTGCGCGATAACTATGTCGGGACGTGTAGATCGAACTACGTGCAGATTAAATTTGACCGTTTTTGCTACTGTACGCCCACCAATGCCATGCCAAGCTATATCGACGGAAGTCGTAATTTGTAGGGATAAATTAAGGTATCAGCCACCCTTAAAATTGCCATTTTTCCATATTTGAGGTTTCAACGTTTTCAAATAGATATGCTTGAGAGCTTTCTTTTAAAAAAAAAAATCAGAAGAAAATATTATTTCTGTCCAAAGATATCGGGGGTAAAAGATTTTTTTCTCGTTAATTATCTTAATTGATCGTTGACAAGATCTGTCATACCCGTGTCATATATCAATTAACTTGCCTGTGAACGAGTGCGTGCTTCAACACAACACATGCGAATTGTCTTCGCGTTGTTTATAGCCTTTAGTATTCTCCGTGGATATTTAGCGTTTGCTTCGGTGAACATGCGGCCAAAAAAAAGAAAAGGTCGTGTCCGTTTTCGTCATCGAAAACCGAGAGCGAAATAGAAATCGAAGAGCGAGTTTGACAACGAATGGGCCGCAAAATTGGCAGAGAGCGACAAAGGCTCATTTTATCAGCTAGAGAAGTGGCTCGAGGAGTTGGATATTCAGAAAAGCGAAAATGCTGCAGTTGCTGAGAGTGCAAGCCGCTCCAAAATCCAGCTTGAAGAGCCAGATGAAGAAAGCCAGTTAAGCGCATCGACCCCATCTGTTGATGGAACGTAGAAAACAACAAGCGGTCGAGCTATCGTATCGACCGAAAAGCTGCTTGAGAAACTGAACGAGTCTGTATCTTGTCGATTTTGCCAGGGAGAGTCCAAGTCATGGAAAATTTAGCGACTAAGCATGGACTTGGTTCTACCTGGAGAATCCAGTGCGAGAATGAAAGCTGTCCGTCGCACAAGACAAATTCTGTTCTTAATTCTTCCGAGAAGAGCAGAGCGTTTGAAATAAACCGGGCCAACAGGAGGGCATTTTGCATGCGCATGCGTGAATCCGCTGAACGACAATAGCGTAGGCGCAACAAATCTGATGGCGGGAAATCGAAAACTCGCGCGTAAAGTTACAGTCCTTTTAAAAGCCATTTCGTTGGTGCTTTGAATACCGTACTTTCCTACAAAAAATATTCTCCATGACAAAAATCGGACGTTTTCTACGCGCGTTTTCACTTGTAGATTTTTCAGCAGTAGGTTTTCTTGGCCTTTAAAGACAAGACTCAACGCCAAAAGTCATAGTCCTGTATAAGTCTGATTTTCACTGGCAAAGCAATGCATTTCTATGGTTTGATTTCCAAACTCGTGGTTTTATTTAGGGAGGAAATTCATCGTAGCAATGTTCAGCTGCTTTAAGACAAAATCCAAAAAAAAAATTTACCACGCGAGGTTTATTTATTAGCTCGATGTCTCATGTTAAACTGATCGCGGAGACACGCGTTTATATATGCCACAAAACTTGAAATCTATGGGGTTTTAACAGTTTTTTGAACGTTTTCGCGGAAAAATTTATAAAAAATATTCTCCTATAGGAAGTGTATAATGGATTGAGTTTGAAGCAACAATTACAAGTACATAATCACTTGAGCATTTCATAAGCTCAGTTGCAAACAAAACGAATGCACATACTCCGAAAAAACGAACAGTACTTTTATTTTTCTTTAACTCTAAAAGATACAGAGATTTTTCCTAAGCTACTATTTTGAAGCGACTCTTGAGTAACAGCTCCTGTCTCCCACAATTGATTTCTTGTTATTAATTTATATTTGATGACAGTAGTAATCTATTCAAAACAGAGAATGGCCATCACTCCATAAATCTAACTGACGATGTTGTTCACCTTCAAAGCCTGTTTAAACATAAGACAGGAAGTTTGTTAAAGGGGTGCATATAATGCTGTTTCCTCAAAAAATAAATACTTCTGCTAAAGGACCCAAATGAGCTGGGATGCGACAACAAACATGACACAAATGGATGGATGAATTTGTCTGTTATTAATCTTTCTGTTGAGAGCTTTTTACTGTATCCAGATGAACCTCTTATGTAAGGTGTACATCATGGAAGAATTATCAAGCAAAAACTGATACGTTAAACAAGAATGTGGTTCAATACAGAGGAGAGGCTGGTCTCAGTCAACATCCTTCGTGAATGAAATGTCTCACAAATTAGCATATCAACAAATGTAGTATCCACAAAATATATCATTTAGGAATAAATGCGATTTTTTTGCAACAGAAGCAAGGATTGACTGAAAAGGTGTATTGATAACGTTTCATTTCGTGCTATATTTATTTGCATAATGAAATGTAAACAAACAGTGTACCATCAAAATAAGGTGGAAAAAATCAGAATTCAAACCGATTGCTGTAATTTTTTTCCTTTGTATAACTAAATGAGAAAATATTCTTATTTTCTAAACACAATCTTACTGTCTTCATTATACTGATTTAAATTTATAGTTGAAGTGCGTGTATTTTATTTCTCAACGAAGACGTACCGGGGAAGAAAGCTAAAATTACTGCAGAAGGCGATTTTTCACAGCCTTCATCAAAGCGCCATTCATTCGCGGAAGTATTCTTAGTTTCATTAATCATTAACTTAATCTGGGGAGAAAGGCAAGATTTCGAGATAAACAAGCCAGAGAAAGGGTGAAAAATAGTTTCACGGCAGAATGGACACTTATTTAACCACTGTATTCCTGAAACGATTAAGTTCGATTTTAAAGTTATACTATTGAGAAGAATTAAGTATCTATAGCCTCAGTTCTTGGCCTTCGAGCAATCGGTGGTGGACATTCGGCGGCTTCAAAGTTTTTTAGTTTCCTTGGCCTGGCGCCGATCAACAAAAACGCCTGGGCGGATCATACAAAAAAAGATCGAAGGAGAGGCAAAACTTTTGCTCGAGAAAGAATTAAACCGTCAGGGGCACCCAACGGCAATTTTCGGGAAAATATCTGTTCGGAAGACGATTTTAGATCTAGAATTTTCGGAGCATTTGTTGTAAAATGTCTTGCTTGCCTGCCTCTCCTAGGATTTTCGAACATCTTCAAAATGGCATAATTACCCATTTTTAACGGATTTTGACCCTAAAAAAGGCCACCTAGAATTTTCGGGAGCCTTTTCCTGGCTGAAATTTTCGAGAAGGTAAGTTTTTATCCCTATAATTTTCGGATCACTAGACTTTCAGCTAGGAAATCCGAACAGATGAAAAGTTTTTAGGGGATAAAAATATGCCTATATCTACCGTTTGAATACTAAAATACGTTCAACAATGCTATGTTAAGTGGTTTTGAACTATATCCTCGTTGG